TCCGCGGAATTAATTGAATTTCAACTCGCGTGAATGTTATCCCAATGGCTAGACATCTTACTGCAGATGATCACGCCAGAGCCGATCACGAACTGGCGTCGAATAAAAATGAAACGAGTATGGGTTAAAAGTACTAACGATTGTGAATAGAGTGAGGCCCTTTCATCTAGAAAATGTTTCCCCCTCTCATATGGTCAATTAGCAAGAGGATAGATTCCAGGGATTCAACGGAATCGCATTGAGTTTTCGTAATTGGCTGTACGTGAAGCTCCAAGGTATTCACCTGTGCTCACGTGAAGAGCCGAAACTCCATCGGTTTCTTGTCTCCTCTCCTCTACGTATTTATCTTCCGCGTTTGATGGCTGTGTGGCTATTTCTTTCCATTCCCAACGCTCTGGCGTTTCCCTAATTCCTCAGTGGCCTTCGAGACTGAGAAAGTGGAAAGAATTCCACTTGGTGGTAAAAAATTCGGACCAAATAGACCAATACCCGAAATAAAGCAACGGTTTTTATTTTGACATTTGTTATTTCAAATTGAGACCTTTAAACGCGTCAAATTCAACATCAATTGACGTTTCAAATGCGGAGGTGAGACTTCGGGAAATTAAATTGGGACTTTGAAAATTTTTTTTCAAAATTGGGAGTTGGTAACTGGAATTGATCAAAAGTCTCAAGTCGAGATTTTCGAAAGTACTAAAATTCAAATTCAAGTTCATTGAAATAGAAAATCAATTTTTTAGTGAGTGCATGTAGAGATGAATAAAAAAATTCTCATTATCTGAGATGAATAAAAATAATAATAAAGCGTCAAGATTTGTTTATCAGAAATGTCGGCAGCCCCATGCGTTGGGGGTATAATCAGCCCCTTTTTATTCCTGATTAAATTGTCAAGAGGGAGATAATCCGCGAACAATAAAAGCCTCGAGTTTGTCGTGTGTGCGACGTCGAGTCGAGTGTCACTCAAAAATTCTTTTCACATTTCCCAGAACATTGTCAGTCCCCTCTTTGAAACGTCACACCCAACCGATCGTTACGTATGCATTGAAAAGTCATACTGATGACAGTATGCAGAACACAAGACCGCAATTAACCGTTGAATTATGAAAAAAAGAAATAACGAAATAGCTCTTGACTGAAAAATTCATTAACAATTAATTCGCGAAATGAATGACGAGAGAAATTGATTTTTCGACGATTATATTAATTTGTACGGTCAGCTGATAAATATTAATTTGACACGTGATATAAACCCGACATGGAGTGCCCTCGAGTGGCTGTCTGGTCACGACGTGGCTCTCATTTGAAATTACCCAATGAATACAACCACTCGAAATTGTCTCTTTTCAATCATCCAGTTAATTCAGAGACTGGTCAAGCATTTATTCGCGTGGGCGCTGCATTATTTTTATCATCAACGGATTAATCATCGCGAAAAAACCGCGAATTCAGGCATAATTACGGCATTCATCAACAGCCTCGCCAGCATTTCATTAAAAGAAGAATGAATTATGACTGAAGTAAGATTCAATGAATGATCTTCAAATGATAAAAAAAATCATCAACTTCATGAATTGAAAAATCATTTTCCAAATTCATTATTATTAATAAAATCCCGGCTATCACTCAATGAAAAATTCATTGAATAAATGATTGCGATTTAATGACGAATATTAAATCGATGACAGTTGTCAAATATTTAATTTTAATTGTCCGGATAAAATATAATTTCAATTTTTTTAATTAGAAGAAAATATCGAGAATTTTCTAGTGAATTGAATTGATAAAAAATGAGATGCCCGAAAAATCGACAATTTATCCGAAAGTCGGTGGTTTGTTTTTATTTTCATTTTATTAAATGCCTTTCTACTTCATCCTTTATTCGAGAGGTCGATGAAGGGCCCCTGGGTCCCCATTACGCTACAGTATTTTCGGCCCTTAAATAAAAAAAGATAAAAGCACTGGGGTTCCTCGTTAAAACGTTATGCCACCATCTCTTGCAATTTGTAGGAGTGGTTTGGTCGCACGACGCATAAAATGTATACCTGGTTAGGGGGCATAAGATGGCCGGTAGATTCCGGGAAAGGATCAAAAGATTTAACTCCCCCTCACTATCCCTCGCATACCCCTTGTTCACCCTTTTCCAACCACCTTTTATTCTTTTTCCATGTCATTCCTCCCTCTCTTCAACAACTCCCAAAGACGAAACTTGACTTGGAATCGAATAAACAAGACACATAAATCGAGATACATCGGGATAACAATGAGAAAAAACGAGAATAATTTTTTTCGTGAATTCCAGGGGGTGGAGTTGAGAGAAAAAAATTAACGAAGCGGAGAGGAGTGACACGAAGAAGAAAAAAATGGAAAATGGTTTTGGAATTTTTAATTTTGGAGAGTTTTAGGATTTTATTATATCCTAATATCAAAAGGGGAAAGGAAATCGATCTCGAAGTATCTCGAAAGAAATATCTCGCTGGTGGATGTGAAAAAACTAAACGAGGGAACAGAAAGATGAAACAGAAATAAAATATGAAAATTAAAAACTCACCTGTTTGAGATCCAAGACGATTGCAACGAATTCGAATCGTTCTCCTCTGGCTAATGTCGGACTCTGCCACCATTTTCCAGGATCAGGATTAAGAACATTACTGATATTATGCCTTTTCCCAGGATCCGGACTCCTGGCATCGCAGACGGCGCACCTCGACGATTCCGAGGGCTTGCAGAATGTCTCAGGTCCATCCTCTCCACACGTCGCGTTGACGTAAATGTCGGCCTTCGTCGCGACATTAAAAGTCGAGGGAAATAGTCCCCCATTTTTCAGACTTTTGCTCACACCGAATGGCTCTGAAAAAAAAAGAAAAATAACTGGATAAATAAAAGTCAACAAAAAAATTAATGAAGTCCTCATGAATTCAATTTTTCGATTGGGCAATTAAATTTTATATCACTTGGAGGAATGTAAATCAAAAGACCGCATGCGGTTTTACGGTGATTTTTTGAAATTCTCGGGATCCGAAATATTTATTGATAGAGAAAATGAGTTCCACCGTTTTTAGGATTTTTTTTTAATGATTTTTTATAACGGAGGGCATCCGGCGCTCAATTGACCTCGAAAATATCGCAAAAATCGTGGCATTACTAGTTATTTATGGTATTTATGTTACTGGTATGGGTAATTCATACGAATTATAAAGAGATCGCGTGAAATTATGATGAAAGAGTCACGAGGTCGATGTTCATCCCACGATCGTCGGAGAAACCCAATAATTACTGTTTATACACAATTGCCAATGCTTTTGTTCCTCAATGGCAAAATAAAAAAATTATAAAAACCATTAAACAATGGCTTTTCACAAAGGATGAAATTAACATCACAAAATTAACCCAAAAATTAATTAACACAAAAATGTCGGCGTTATTAAAAAAAATTTCAAGTCTTGCAGATCCGAATAATGATTTTGGATAAATTCATAAATAAACAATTGAGATAAATTGTCATAAATGACGGGACACATCCAGACAGATATCCGGTGTGAACCTATATTTTTCTCGGTGTACTTTTAAAATCCCCGGGACAGGGGAAACGACCTCGTGAAGGGGATCGTTAATGCTTTCGCCGCGTTCATTGCCATTAGGGAAACTCGACGATGATTTTGGTGCATGTGGATGTGAGCAGTCACAGTCGGTCGAGAAAATAAAAAAAAAATGTAAGAGACACTCGGAGAAGATGAGTCGCCGTGGAAAATTAATTTTAGAACGGTCCTCGCCACCTGCTTGTCCACCGGATGACTCCTCGCCCAAAAACTCAGACTGCTCACGTGACTTTCCGAGATTTCCATTTTCGATCTGATAATCGCGACAATTTCCATCGACCGTTAACAATTCCACAAAAAAATTAAAGATTAATCAACATTTTGGACTGAATTAATTCAATTTATTTGAGACTGAAGTTTTCAATTAAGACTTTATGATTTCTCAAGTGAATTC